TGATGTCTGCTAAGCAGTTCTGTTGAACTGTGGCTCCTGGAAAGTTTGATCCCATTTGATCAAATCAGGTAAGAACAATGGCTGAAAGATTAATCTAAAATATGACCTCATAAGGCAGCAGAGATTTCCACAAGTGCTCTTTAATATCTTTTCTATCAGGGCTGTATGTTTGGATTAAACATGCTGAGGCCCTGACAGTGAAGCCAATATGAAACTGATTGTCCACATTTAATAGGGAGCCCTGAAGGAAACCATGCAGGGCTTTTATTTTATTGCACATGCCTCACCCCTGCTCTGTTTACAAAGTGGAGGGTGTGTGTGTTTGTCAGGTGTAAGTTTAAGCGGCAGGTTCCACACGCTCACAGCGTCTGGGAATGAGCCGGATGCCCATTGCACTTCGCAAAGTGGCACTTCCTTCCTCTACACACTCCAGACTATGCGTTGAACTGCTGCCTGGCAACCGTCTGGACAGGACCCAACTGTTGTGGTTCTGTGTGTGTGTGTGTGTGTGTGTGTTGTCTTAGTGAGTGTGTGCGGCCATGATCACTTCACTGTGGGATCACTGCTGATGTTTGGTGCAGGTATGCATTAACAACAGGCGGCTTTACAGTCATACATTTGACATTACTGTCAGGTGAGAGCTGTGTTTGGCTGTTGCACATGTGTGTTCGGGTGTGTGTGTTTGTGTGTGTGTGTGTGTGTGTGTGTGTGTCTTTATTCAACTCCACTCTTGTTAGGAAATTCCACGCTGCATTATTGGGTTGTCTTGGTGATTGTATGGCTCCATTCCCAGACTGGATCCCAAGGGATTAAAATAAAAGAAAAACTCTTGAATGATCAGTCATCAGTTAACTCGCTCAACAAGAATGACACTTTCTTGTTCAAAGCGGAGATTAATTGAAGAAAGTTAATACATTAAAAATGCATATTTAAGAATATCAAAGGCCAACATTAATTAACAGAGATAGCATATTTTTGGCTTAGTTAAGTCAGTAAAATATTTATGACTCCAACCTGTCCACTGAAATTTGTGTTTTGCATTATAACGAGAATTGACGACATGAATAATGAACTCCCTCTCGCTGTTTGCATCTTCAAATGCAGCTTTTCACCACTGCTTTGACTCATGTTTTCTTCCTTCTGATCAACCAGTGTCATCAATTTTATTCTGATTACAAGAGCAAAAAAGAGCGGCTGGTTGAAGTCCAAGCCGCTGCCTCGGTGACGGCCGGGGAAGACGCAGCGTCGGGCCGAAGGTGATGCATCACAGTCTTCCATACAGGGAGGCGGCGATGGGGCACAAGTAAACCCTCTTAAATCATCATCCTGGGACAGATGTGTGTGTGTGTGTGTGTGTGGGGGGGGGGGTCATATGAACCAGCAACCCCACCATCTCTCCTGTGCCTCTCCCTAAACACACATTATCAACAGGCTCAGCAAAGAGACAAATGTGACGCAGACCAGACAACATTTGGGCAACAACCTGGAAATAAGTTTGCTGTTTTTCTTTGAATGACTCTCATTTAGACTGAAGAACAGACATGGCTTTCAATAGTCCATGTAGGAGGTGTGAATCTTCTTCTATAAGAGCCAGGCTGGATTATGACAGAATGTCTCTGATGGGTATTCATGGTAACACCTTTTTTTGTCATTCTTTGGTTATAGTTATAGTGAAGTGACTAAATATGAACGACTGTAATATAGAATGAAAACTACTGGAGGGGTAGACTCTTAAATCCCTTCCAACAATGCATGTGTCCTTATTAATTCTGTGTCAAGGAGGGTCCTAAGCTTGCTGTTGAGCTTGTCAGGGCAGGCACCATAGCATTTTAGAGAACACCATATCCTTGTAAAACAAGCGTCACATAAATAAATGCATGACACTCGTAGCCACACAGGAGGTCTTTAGCATCCTGTTGTTCCTCTCCCACAGAGATTTAACATACCATATGATCTTAGTGCTTTAAAGTCACTTTGCAGCTCAGCTCAGGCGGCTCAACAACAGATAAATATTTTTCAAGGTGAGTGCTGAAAACACCAAAAAAAAACATTTTGAAGCTACTTCTAAAATGAAGAGCAGGAGAAACAGTGCATAGAACGCAGATTATGGTGCTGTTTTGAGAAATATGAAAGAGTGAAGAAAAGAGAGACTGCACCCCTTTATAATAAACACGAAGTTTATGCTAAAAAGAAATAGAGGCTCCCTACCCCCTCCTCCTTCAGAGCCTAGCCTCTGCGCTTTCTGCTTGCACACACACACACACACACACACACACTCACTCCTCCCTTAGCCTATATAAGTAGACAGCAGCTGAGCTGACCCCTCCACCCTGCATACTCTGTTTTTTTTATTAAACATACATCATAAAAATATCTTTGTGCATCAGAAAATACACGTGGACATTTGTGTTGGTTTCTAGGTTAAACTTGAAGTAAAAGAGAATCTCTTCTTTTTTTTTCTCCAACAGATAGAGAGAGAGCAATGTGAGCAGAAAGCCCCGCATTGTAGAGAGAAAGGGCTGAGCAGAGCAGAGAGCTGGCGCTTCCCATCCCCCACATTCACATAGCAAAGTTCTGCTGCTTTTGCAAGCGGTGATGCTGCCTTCGCGTGCTCCAGCCGAAGCTCGGAAACGCACAATGTCGCAGCACACAAGTCCTTTCTGGTCGGAAATAAAACACTTCAGTCTTACACATAAGTGTTTAATTTGTGTTCTGAGGTTGTTGCTTTTTTTCTTACTTTATCCCAGAGCTTACAGAAACAATATATCGACCCGTCTCCTTATATGAATAAATGTAAACAGTGCTTTATGTGGATATAGGCGATTTCAATGCACTACTTTAGTCTAATTAGTCTAGAAACACGTGGACATAGTGATCGTTTATAAACACTGAATATTTGACACTCTGATATATTTTCGTGACTCAATATTATCTTGTGTCAGTTTGCCCATGGCCTTGCTTTACTGAGTTCTTCATTAATCCACTGTGTTAACAGGCTACTGATGTGGCCTAGCCTTCCGTATGACTTAGTTATTCATTATTGTTTGCAGCTACAGGACACAGTGTCCCTGTAAATGTATTATTTACCCGGTCAAGTGTTGCCTCTTTCCCTTTAAATGTTTCTGATGGTGTTTCTGGGCTACGTTTTGATGAATAAACAGCTGAGCATCTCCACCTTGAGTTGTCTTTGAAATGTTGCAGCGTGCGTGTGTCTTGTTTTGGTCATTTTTGAACTTTCTTGCAAAAACGTTTGATTCTTTCAGTTTTAACACTGTTCGTTTTACGACCTAGAGCCTAGATTCTGAAAGTTCCGACGACGCCAAACGCAGCATTGAAGGCTGCTGCTGCTAGGAGAGCGCGAGGCAGGCAAGGCAGAGAGCACGAAGAAAGGGGGTGGGGAGAGAGAGGTGGTGAAGAGACATAGGGTGTCTGTTCCTATGAATTGCATAGAGAGACTTTATGCTTTCTCCAAATCTCTTCTCGTTCTCGTTTGTTTGCATGAGATTTGACTTTTAACAGATAATGTGATGTGGCCTATTCAGTGTCACTTTTCTACCATCAGTGTTTTTTTTTTTTTTTGTATCTCCACTTCCTGCTCTGTAACTGGCTCAGTCCATCCCCCATCCTTCTTCCTTTTCTGTCCTCTCTCACTCTCTCTCTCACACACACACACACACACACACACACTGCACAGACATGTACAGGTTGTGATTTCATGCTTTCCTCTGCTGTACTCTCCTCTCATTTGGAGTTTTCGACACATGGAAGCAGTATGGGAGCAGTCACTTCTGCCCATTAGCCCCCTCTAACAGAAGAAGCCTATTTTGTTCCAGTGCTTTAGCGAGCTAATAAGATAAAGTGCACACATGAATGTTACAAAGAGGAGCACACAGCTCATGCATGAAGCAATTTTTTGTAATCAGAATGGTTGAATAGTTTTGGATGACTTCAAGGCAGCAGAGTATGGTAAAGGAAGGGACCTTTGAATTGTTAAACAATGCACAACTGTAGATAATAATCTCTGGTATTTATAAGTGTCAGACAGTGTGAAACCATGTGCCTGTGTGTAACCTATTTAACATGAAGTTTAATGTCTGTCTTTGGTTGTTGTTAAAGCCAAAGATGTAAAACCACTGTATCCTTCTTGGGCTACAATTAGCTCTATCCTTACTTTATGCTGTAGCCTATAAGATGAGATGCATCGCATAAATCACTGTATGTTGCCCTGTACAACTCTGAAGGTACAAAATAAAGTAAACTGTGCATATTTATGTTATTTCTATCTTTTGATATCCAAATCTCACACGTTTATTTTTATTCAGACAACTCATTGCTGTATTTCTTCATTAGCATACACCTTTTCCCTCAATGCAGCAATTAATTAGTCTGAAAATGACCAGTAGTTTACGCTTAAAAAACAAAGCTTTCCGTCTACATCGACATTTTCAGGCATGAGCTCACTTTAAAGCACATTAAAGCGGCAATAATGGCTCTCCTTGAGTATAAACAGTGTTGTTTTTAGGCAGTCAGCAGCAGTCCGGATCCAGTTTTCGCTGTAAACTCCGCTCCGGGTTTTCATTTTCTCGCGACAGGTCGGTAAGATGGCTGTGTCTCGCGGAGCCTCGTGCTGGTTTGGTTGATTTCTAGCTCGCGCTCTCGTTCTGTAACAGAAGCCCCCCCTCCAACACACACACACACACACACACACACACACTCACTTGGGTCGGTGAAATTCATTTCCCTGGCTCAGTATTTATATATTTTTGCTTTTTAAAAAACTTTCCCCTCTCTGTTTTAACTTCAAACGGAGTCGCGGTGGATTACCGGATACCGGTCCGGGCGGAGGGCAAAGGGGGGAATGAACCGGGACAACGGGTACGTTGTTATAAATGTAATTGTATTTATATTCAATGGTTTTTCAGAGTTTGACTGTGAGTGAGTCGCCGTGCTGAGAGAGAGAGGCAGAGAAAGAGTGGAGGAGAGAGAGAGAGAGGGATATCATGGCCGCTCAGGTTGCCAGCGTCGCCACTCTCAACACTAGCCCGCCATCCGAACTCAAAAAGCCGGATCGGGAACCACAGGAGGAGTCGGTACCGGGGGAGAAACAGCATGAAAATAAGGATCCGGGAACCGACGGCGGATCTCCTGGACAGAAGGAGCTGCAGGACGGGACCGACGCTGGAAATGCTGGGGGAGGAGGAGGAGGGGATCCCGATATGAAGAACGGCAACGGGAATTTGCCCAGGGTAAATAATAATAGCAGTAATCAGAATGATACAGGCGGGCCCGAGGGGAATAACCATCCCGGGATGGGACACCACCACCAGGGCCCCTTTCCTCCTCCTCCTTACGGTTACAACCAGCACTACAGCCGGGCCCCTTTTCATCAACATGGCGGACAACAAAGCCCTGGCATGGCAGCTGCATCGGGGCCGGGCATGATGGACCCTTACCCCCCTAATTCACATGAACACGGCTACCCGAACCATTATAACAACTACAGCCCGTTCCAGAACAGGACTTCTTATCAGGGCCAAGGCTACGGGGCCATGAATTCCCCGCGTAACAACCAGCCTCCGGCGGCTGGGGGGCAGCCAGGCAAGCAACAGCCAGCAGGAGGAACCACAGCCATGGCTGCTTCTTACAATAATCAGAGGTATAACATGGGAAGCCAACAACCCACGTCTACGCCTACTTTAAATCAGCTTTTGACATCCCCGAGCTCCGCCAGGAGCTACCCGAATTACCCCCAAGGAGACTATAACAATCAGGAAGGGGCCAATAAGGGACCAGGAGATATGGGTAGCACTCAGTATGGTGGGGTCCATCCGGGTTGGCAACAAAGGAGCCACCATCCGCCTCCCATGAGCCCGGGAAACACTGGACAGCCTCCAAACAGAAATCAGGTAAACTTCCCTCACTGCACTGACACACTTTGACTGAGTTGGAGTCGACCAGGAGCTCAGAAAAAGCCCCTGTAGAGTAGCATATTGCATTGGACCAGCCATTGTCTATGTAGCAAGAGCTCTAAAATGGCTGCCTCTCTCTCTCTTTTTTCTCGCAATACCACCCCCCCTGCAATAGTCTAAAACACAGAGAAAGAAGCAGCATATTCTGCTGGAAACAACTTTCTGAGTTGTGGGTGTTTAGTGTGTGTCTCTGCTGGGTGCAGGGCAGGAGTTAGACTAAGTAGAGCAAGAGTTTGTGAGGAGAAAGTGTGTGTGCATGTGTGTGTGTGTGCAGAGATATGATGTTTCCTCGCTGTGCTTCTCCTACCTCATTGTAGATTTAAGTGCTGTTTTCTACGAGAATCTGCAGCCTCTTTTTTTTTTTTTCTCCTTGTTTTGTTGTGCTCCCCCCCTCTCCCTCCCTCCTATCAGTGCTATCAAAAGTTGTGTCAAAGGCTGTCAAGGCAATAAAAACGAGATGCAAATGACAGCGATAGGCGTTAAATAACATTTGCATAATCATTAAGGAAAAAAAAAGACCCCTCTGTCGGGGTTTTAATAGCCGCTCCGCACGGTGAAGTGGAGATGTGTCTCACAGTCCAGTGAATGGCAACAATTACACCCGCTAAGTGTTTACTCGGATCAAAGTGTGATTGTGACCGCGATTGATTCATCTTGACGGAGGGTTTTTTTTTTTTTTTTTTTTCATTCATTGTGGGGCTCGGTTCGGCTCCGTTCGCCTCCTCCTCCCCCCACTTCTTTCCTTCGTCCTCCTCGATTCTTTTGCCTCCCATGTGCCGCCTTGTAAACACGGCCCCGCTGGTTGGAGTTGGCAAAGTGCAGATTGCCTTTTGCTTTGGGATTTGAATTATGGAGGTAAAATCCTGCTGTCAGAGCCAGGAGACAGTTGGTCTTAGGTTGACATGCGAGCCGAGATCTGATTGGCTCCCCCGTCCCTCCGCTCTCGGCCATTTATAATTGCATCTAATGGAAAGGCTGCAGAAAAAAAAAAAAAAAACCAGCCCCCTCTGTCCGCTTCTTTCCTCCATCGTGTCAAGAAAACACTATCCGAGTGTCTTTTTTTTGTGTGTGTGTGTTTTTAACCATTTTAAGCAATAATGTCTGCATCTCTGACTTCTTTAGAAAAACATCATTTATCTTTCTAATTTTCATGATATCTTAATGTCGTCATATATCAACGAAAATATATTTAAAAAAACGACATTATTCACCATTTTGCAGAAGTTAAACACTGTCAGAGGCTTTATTTACTTTAGTAATTTAGAGAACACGTTATGTTCCCCCCGCTGCAGTAATTTGCATGAAGACTGTACACATGTAGAGCTGACAGTGTTTTTATATTTGAGATCAAACCATGACTTCTCATGTGCTGAGTCACATCCTTACTCATTTTTTTTTTTTAAGATGTTCACCTCTCTCATGCACCTGAAGTTTTTAACATTTTTTTTTTTTTTTTGACTCTCAGGGTACATTCTGCACTGCTTGCTCCAGTCAGGCTGAATCTGGTACAGCAGATATAGAGTAGGTGTGGTCATGTAGCTCCGTTGTACAACTGTGCTTTCCACTGTTTCCAGATCAGGACTTGAAGAGACTTGGTGTGCCAGAGTGTCTCGTGGCCACGTGTGTGTGTGTGTGTGTGAGTCGGACTGACTGCTGTTGTGTTTACAAGCAACCAAGGTGTCAGCCTCGTGTCACGGCTTTGTTTTTTTTTTTTTTTTACATCAGGTTTATAATGAGCTAATTTACTTCCTCATGCTGAGAGAGTAACCATGTCAACACTGCTTACCTACATCTCTCTCTCTCACACACAGATAATAGCCACATGTTCAGTGTTTTTACTCTGCAGGTAATGTCATGGTGGTCATAGGCAACAAAATAACAGCAAAAACTCATAATTTACACATCACAAAAAATGGCATGTCATTCCTTTTTGGAAAAATACCTACCTACCTTTTTTATGTTGGCAAATTTTAAGGACTGAAGTTACATAGCCTGACATATTTTTTGAGACTTATTGTGATACCAGGGGAGAAAAAAATATGGTGGCTGGTTTAGTACATATTTAAACTGGATGTTTTATTGAAGAGGTTATTGCTTAGATTTTGTACCAGTGTTGATATGTTAAGGTGCTCAGATGACCGCTTATGAAGGAGAAACTTATTTTTTTCCAGAGAAAATGTAGCTGTCAGTCCATCAAGTGTAAGTGTTTATTAAAACGTTTTAACATTGTTGCATACCAGGAAATACATACTGATGTATTATGGAGGCAAATATAATTCCAATAAAATCTGCCAACTAGAGGTGGGAAATAAATCGATTTATGTAAAAAAAAACGCGATTCTTATCTTATGAGATTTTAAATAGATTCATAACTTCCAAGAATTTTTTTTTTTTTGGCTAATCAGTCACTCCGTGCTAAGTGCTAATGCTAGCTTGTTAACTCAGTTGAATGCCAAATGGGGCAGCAAGAAATTCAGCCAGTCTCACAGATGACTGGAGGAGATCCTGAAGTATGTACTAATTCAAAAAATTGACTTGAATGAATCATGAATCCAGAATCCTTTTGAATCGACAAAGAGATTCTGAATCGAATCGTGACCCCAAGAATCAAAATCGAATCGTGAGACACCCAAAGATTCCCAGCCCTACTGGCAACGGACTCATTAGTCGAACTTTATTAATTGTAAACATTCCTTCCAAATAATAAAATAGACGTCTTTTATGTTCTGGCTTCTAGGAGAGGAAAAATAGCTTCAGGTATCTGCTAATCTAAAACTTTATAACTCTGGTGACACAGTTTATGTGTGAGTGTAACGTATTAATCTAAATCAATAAGAAGGTAAATGTTTTATGTTTCACATTTTGTTTATTTGTTTCCATCCAGCCCAAAGATTGGTCATTAAGGACAAACTGTTCATCCTAAGAAAAACTACCGCCACTTGTTGCCTGACAGTTTAAGGTGTAAGCCTTCACACATTTTGATTGCCACTTTGGTGCATCACAGCAGGGTAAATTGCTTCACAGTTCAACTTGGCACATTCATGTGAGGGAAAAGGGTTCGGTCCAAACATGCAACACAAATGTTCAAATATTCCTCATCTCGACATCAGAGAGCGTAAACGGTGTGATTTTAAACGTCCATCAGATGATCATATTATGCAGCATTAATTGACAATAAGAAACGTGCATTTTTGGGATTTCTGTTTCACCCTTTTTGTCTTCAATCTGTCAATTCTTGTGTGCTGAGAAGTGTCGAACCCAAGGGCAGCTTCAGCTTTTGGCAAACGGGGTGAATTGACAGCATCTCAGTCAGTGTGGACGAGGAGCTTTTCACAGCTTTAACTAGTTTTTTTTTGGCCATTAAGTCAGGCATATTTGTACAATCAAGTGTTACATAAAGTTGTAAAATGTATTTTTCAGTCAGTATTTAGGGAACCAGCCTGCGATCCATTGAGTGCATGTTTTCAGCCATTTCTTTAGCGCCACTTTCAAAAAGACAACTTATTCTTAAATGTTTTATTCTAATGTTAGTGCGCTGCACCATTTGTTACAACTTGTTTGAATCAAATCGCTTTGGTTATCACCTTGATTTACAGGTTCAAGCTAGCGTCTTGCTTCTCTTTGAAGAAGTTCTTAAACTTTGAATCATTATATCCGTTTGCTTTAAGGACTCAAAGAGAACTGAACGGTTCATTCTATTTTAAGGTGTCAAATTAAAGGTTTGAGTTGGTGTCTCATCACTGATTGTCTCACAGAGCAGCATGCAAAAAGATCCGCTGCCTCTTCCCTTGACTTTGTAGCTGTCGAGCCTGCTTCTGGTGACAGTTCGATTAGATTATGCTAGTGACAGTGTGGCACACACTCATGGTCAGGGGAAAGGGCTGTTGTGATTGGCTTCTATCGTTATTTGGTTCTGGGTTTATATTTTTAAAAATGATATCCGGTTAGCTTTCCAAACAAAAAGTCGTAACTCTTCACTCTTTGCACTTTTTCATTACAAGCTACGCAGGTTTCTTTCATATGTGTCATGTGCTTCCAGAGTAGCATTATTGTGAGAAAGTAAGAGACTGTCTGGGAAGGTAATTGAACATTTTGGTTTTCAAGCACTCTAACAGCGTGGCAGGAGAATCTTTATATTTGTGCAGAAGGCAAACATGCTGTGTCAAAGTCTCATTAGCGTCCCTGAATTGGGAGGAATTAGAAACACACTTATACACCTTTTTTTTTTTCCAGGAGGTTTTTTCCCCCCCTGTGTGTCTTTTTGTTTTAAAGTGGTGCAGGTGCAGGGAACACATTATCTTAATGGATATAATCCCAGACATAGTACCTGGAGGACAGGGGCTCTGACAAGGGTAAAAGGACACAAAGATGACCTGAATGGTTTCCCTTTTTTGGAAGCTGAACTGAGCGAAGCCACCAATAAGTGTTTGTTGTGTTAAAACGAGGGGTGTAAGACCATACTGATGATCATAAGTACTGCAGTTTATCTTTGGTTATTGTATTGAGTATTCGAAAAGATACTGATTTTTTTTTTATTTCAAGTGAACATTATAGTATTTTCAAACTGATACAGAAAGATATTAAAGGCCCGTGTGAAACTTTCAGTTCAATTCAACATCCTTGCCCCATTTGGATATCGCGGCATCGTTAACCTCTGCGCTGATTTGAAAAAAAACGTCCTCCTTTATGGTTTTTATCAGTCAAACATCACTGTGAAACTTCGTATCAGCTGATATAAAAATAAAGGCTTCCTGTCTATCACTTTGTCTGACACCTGCCCTGCAGCTGCAGTTTTGGACATTCAAACGCAACAAAAGCAACAAAGTATAAGTATTTGACAGCCAACCAAATACTAGGGCTGTGCTCAAAAAATCGACATGGCAATACGTCGTCATGTCCTCCTTGCAAATATGTATTGCTGCAGATGTTACAGAATC